CAGAGCAGCCACCGCCGCAGAAGTCGACAACATCGTCCACCCTCAACCCGAACCTTGCCAACAACCCACAGAGCTCATCACGATTTTCACTCAGGTCTTCTTTGACTCTTCCTGTTTTGATGTTTTCCAGTAACCAAGTTTGTTGAAAGTTTGTTGAATGGTGTACTCTCTAGTATTTCTTTATGAGCGTCTTCGTCCAATNCTTGTTTGAGATCCTGCCTGGTTCCCAGTTCTACTTCAAATCATGATCCCCCCTTTGCCTTATGTCATGACCCGTAATATTTTAGTTTTATTTAATTATTATTCAATCTTGTTCTACTTTTTTATCAAATGCTCATGGAAAAAGCCGTTTCGACACAGAAGCAGGCATCTGCTTGGACCATTCTTTCGTTCCCACTATAACCCACCCTGTTCAGTGAGCAAGAGTTGTGGGGTTAGGCTGCGTAGGAGACCTTGGTGTGACTTATCGAACTGCAGTAAATGCGATTCAATTCCATTTTCGAGCCAAGTTTAATCACTAGTTTTACCTTTACGGACTCCCTGAGGCTCCTCTTCTGACTATTAGGAAGAACTTTGTCACTCCTGTTTATTAACGTAAGGTTTTTGATCAGAATCGATCAGATAGGAGACGAAACTGTTTCAGGGCGTAGCGGGTAGCACTCACCTTCAAGACGTAGCCGAAGTGGCCGAACCTCCAGAGCAGCCACCGCCGCAGAAGTCGACAACATCGTCCACCCTCAACCCGAACCTTGCCAACAACCCACAGAGTTCATCACGATTTTCACTCAGGTCTTCTTTGACACTTCCTGTTTTAATGTTTTCCAGTAACCAAGTTTGTTGAATGGTATACTCTCTAGTATTTCTTTATGAGCGTCTTCGTCCAATTTAGCGATGATCATTTTGATCAGTACGTGATGGCTGGTACGAGCGGGCAGCCGAGACTTCGCCGAAATCGGCCTTCCCTGATGCGACAAAGCGACGTAAATGACGCCACTTCGGTTGGTTTTATTTCGATTCTTCTAATTCTTAGAGGTGCCACTACTGAGAGGCATAAAGATGAAAGCTAAAACCGAATGAAATGGGAGAAGATTGTGTGTGCCCTTCTGGCAGCTAAGAGCAACATGGCAAAAAAGCCCAGAAAAGGAGAAATAATTGTTCGCATTATAACACGAGGCAACTGTTCCCTAAGAGGTTTTTCTGGTTTACCAAAAGGTTGTCCAGCTGTAATATAGTTTTCGGCCCAAGAAGTAAATGTCTTCCGATAACCGTCTAGAGACATCCTGAAAGAGGATCCTCAGCATAGTAAAAAGCTTCTGGATCATTCAAATATTCCACCCTCTACAAACCATAAAAGTTCTAAAAGATGAAGTCCCTGGGCGTCGATCAATCCCGTCTGAGGGATGTGCTCCGCATTCGACTTCCGTTCAGAATCGTAGTACCGTATTGAATGCCTATGTGGCCCTTGCAATGAGTTGCGGAGGCCACGAGCCCGGTACAAATTAGCCGACCCCAAAGGGGTGGAAATTTTGTTGGCCTTTGCGAATATTGATTCGGGATTCGAACTAGTGACCTTGCATGTTGATAGTGCGCCGCTTGCCACTACACCACATCCGCCCATTCTAAAACCATCTTTTGTATTTACTTAAGAGCTGGCCGATTAGTAAATTCTCAGAACATTTTGAGGAACGAGTTTATTGCATATTGTTTAAATTGTCTGAACATAATGGCGTTCATTTATGAAACAGGGGGACGGGCCATAGGATCACTTTTCTGTAATCGATGGCTGTTACGGACCATTCGGTCGCCGTTATTACAGCTCTAGCGTTCTTCATACAACTCGATCGATATGCAAAGCTTATTTCAGGCATAATTCTACTGTTAGTTCCTTTGTTCCTGTATTTCTTACCAGCTGCTGTATTCTGCTACATTCCTTCGCGCGCGGCGTCCCTCTCGCCGTGACGCGACAATTTCGTTACTACTGCACCACACCCTATGAACCATAATACTCCAAGCAAAAGTCTCGTGATTATAAGCTTCGTGTACGCGATTGCCGTCACATCAGCATTTAAAACCTAATTTTTACTGTACGGCTTAGAATCATATGCCTTCAAACACCTTGATGAAGTGCAATTTCAGTCAAAAGTGAAGGATAAATCAGGATTACTGTTCAGATGCTGAATCGCCGTTCAACTTTGGCTTCCTCGCGTGATCGCCGAGCTGCAGAACAAGTTGTTCAAGATATAAGTACAAGCGAAAACATGGGTAGTCTGCCGAATCTGGCTGAACTTGAAAGCAGCGGAGTACGTTTGTTCAACTGGTACTGATCCTTGTTCAGTACTATTCAGCTCAGTGCATCAGTTCAGGTTCGTCTCCGCCGAGAGGATGCGGCTCGTTTGGCATCACAACGTCGCCAGGAGATGCTTCGTGATCAGGAGGATCAAGCTCTTCTCAGAGCGAATCCGCTTCGATACCTTTTTCATCCTGCCTTCAAGGTACATCCATTTTGTTTACATACGACCATTACCCCAGACATACCTTCCCTGATTTCAGGCGTGGCTGGTTCGCTGGAAGGTTCCGATCTTTCTCGCAGCTGCAAACCTCACACTACTTTTTCTCTTCTACAATCTGCTCACTTACGATAGGAAACGTCGTTAGGATACTTAATGTGCTGCCATGGTGTGTCTACAGGTGCTGCTGCGTTCATCGTGCGTCGTCGTCGATGCAAAGGGACAATCACTTCCGCTCAGTCGTCGACGTCGTCGTCGGCGCGTCGTGGCCCCCGCCGCCTCTTTCAGGGAGAAGCTCGCCGCTCCTTTCCATGTCATTCCCACTCACTTTTGTTTGCTCCGTTGTATATGTTTTGAATTCGTTCATATGCATTCTATCTCTAGTCGAGGTGTACACATTCCCACACCGTTCTGCCTCTGGCATCCGTGAGGATCCAGGCGGCATCCCCATTTCATTTCATTTCGTGTGTGATGATAACCCATCGCGAGAACTACCTCCGACCACCTCCTCTATCAGTTCTCGCTTTGCCCGAGTTCCCCTTTCTCCAAATCGGTTATTATTTGTTCACGAGCTGTCGATCAGTCAGCGTTTTTACGTGTGTTTGTGTAGGTTGATGCGGTTTCCATGGCGAATATGGCCAAGACCTCAGGGACACTGTATTCCTGAGCTGTCAGCTTTGTTGTTAAACAACGACCCTATCTGGCCCTTTAACGTCCCCCTCATAAAGCCCACATCCAACTCAGTCCAGAGGTTGCCTGAGTCACTCGAACAGAACCTCGAATCTGTCGGGACATTCGATCCATTCGCTCACACTCTCTTTACTGCACATCACATATTATTCTATTGTTTTCGCGGCGCTGTTCTGTACAGACCAGCCAACTTCCCCGCTCGATGACAACCATCGCAGACAGTCCTCGTCAGAGCAGCGTCAAACCGTCTCGTTTATATTTGTTTTGCAGTCCTTTTTTTTTGTTTTATCTAACTCTACATATTAGGAGATCGCTGTGACTCTGTCCGTTACAGATGTTGATCCGTTCGATAGATAGTCGCCGTATTTTTGATGAGGATGTTGTGAGTCCTTCAATTTTGTGTTATTCTTATTTTTTTT